TTTAATAAATTTTTTAACTTTTATTAAAAAAAACAAAAAAAAACAAGGAGAACGAAAATAGGTCTGATCGATCGCGCGAAGTGAAGTGAAGTGAAGTGAAAAACATACATGTGCTCTCAAGCTTTATTAATTTCGTGTTTTTAATATTAATTTTTGTCATACATTTGAATTTCTCAGAGAGAAAATATTTACATGGGCCACTTGGAAAATGCAACAGGTATCATTTTACAAATTCAAAACTTGAGCAAAATTTTTTTTCGTCTTTTTTTGTCATGTTCGGATAGAACTCATCGAGTTGCATAGGAAAAAGTCAATTTAGGATTTTTAAAAGCGGTTTTCGGGCGGAGAAATTTAAAAATACTGGTTTTTTGAAGAAGTAATTACCCATTCAAGTGAAATTTGCAAAATCCTCAAACGTCGTGCCTATACTTTTTTTCTGAAAATTTCAAAATGGTACAACGACTCTTCCTCAAAAGACTTATCTCTAGACTTTTTCAGCGAATGAAATTCAGGATGAAGCTTACGCAACGGAATCGGGATAGGAATTGAAGAAAAGATCGAGATCGGGATTTTCGCTCTATATATATGCCAGATGGAACACCGATTACTTTTTTATCCTATCCGATCACCTTCGTTGTTTTCCAAAAAGTACTAAGATTTTCACCAAAAAATAAGAATCAAAGCAAAATTTCGAAACATATATCATTCGACTCGGTTTTCGATGCTAACTCCGAATATGATATTTTCATTGCATATAAAGTGAGTTCTGCTGGGAAAAATAGAGAATTATGGGCAGAATTCCAATTTTTTCGCTCCTAATCCAAAAAAAATTTAATTCTTTAGGAATGAGAAAAACTTCAACATTTCCAAACACAGATACAGAAGAAGCTCTTGCGGCCTTCTCTGGTGGTGTGAATTGGTTGTTCGATATCTCGTACATAGTTCCGATTTGATGAAGTTTTCTATCTTTGATTTTAAGAGATTAATTTATTTAGCTTTTGAAACTATGTCGAATGAGACGTTACTCGGAACGAGAAGTCAAAAATTGATACTCCTGATGTTTCCAAAATCTGACAACTATTGAAAAACCATTTTAGAGTTCGAACAAATCATGTCCCCACTTGTTTAAAATGATTATAGTACGGACAAAGCGCATCATTTTGCAGAAAAATTCATTTCTATATTTGAACACTTCTTTGTGACTTATTTTTGCTTGATACATTTTCTGTTTTATTTTTATACACACAATTTCTATTTACAAATTAATTTAAGCTGGGATACGTATGTGTGTATGTTAGTTCAATGCATACGTATCGAGTGATACAATTACAAGTAAAAATTCTCATGATTCCTGTTACTAACTAAAACTAGATTATGTATGTAATCCATTGTAAAAAAGGAAAAACTATTTTTTCATGTGTTAAGCAGTGGACGGCCCAATATCTCCACAAAGTCAGGCGATTTTTTTCTGAAAAATAGCTTCGCATAATGCAGTAGAGTCTCATGCACTAAATCCCGATCGGGACATATATTCCGTTTTGAATCAAAATATATCCCGATTGGGATATAGTCAAAAGAACATATAGCCCGATCGGGATATAAATTCGAGCTTTTTAAATAAAATTCATTAGAAAAAATGACGACTATCGCGAAAAGTTTTGACCATACCCTCGAAAATGGCGTAACGAACTGTATCGGATTCTTTTTACCTTGCGACCAAGTCTTTTTTCCGGTCAGCAACCTTCTTTCCAATAATTCTCGAGGTTCATATTCTATATCCCGATCAGGATATTTTAGGTTTTTTACTGGCTATTTTAAACACTTTCTCGAAATATCTTGATGTTTTCTCTTACTCTGAACATACATAAGATAGTTACATCCAGTGAAATATTCAGTTAAAGTCACGCTCATCCTCCATGATTCGTTGTCCGCGCCGCGACAACGAATCACGATGTATTTACAAAAAGTTTTCGGATGAATGAATTGCGTTCAAAAGTTTAAAGTTTTAAAAATGCCGAAGTGCGTTCATCACTCAAGTTCTAGTGGCTGATATGTTGTGCTCTGTATCACCTTTGAAAGACAAGAAAACACGAAGAATCCTGCTCAGTTCGGGCAAAGTTCTTCCACTGGCGATTCTGGTCTTACTAGTTGTGGAATATGTGACACATCAACAGGCCAATGGAACACTACTGCAAACATGACCACAGCGCGTCAGTCTCACACTGCAACCCTGTTCAATTCGGGCAAAGTTCTTGCCACTGGTGGTTCCTCGTCTAGTTGTGAAATATATGACCCATCTACGGGCCAATGGAACGCTGCTGTAAGTATGGCAACAGCACGTACTGCAATCCTTCTTAACGCCAGCAAAGTTCTTGTCGTTGGCGGTGGCTCGAGTAATGCTAAGTGTGAAATATATGATCCGTGAATCTTCTATTGTTTATGTTCATATAGGCGCAAGTGGGAGTGTTTGACAATTAATAATAAGCCGAAGTAAGGGAAAAAATCAAAGCGGAAAGAAGACAAAATGTCGTGTCTAGCCATCTCTGAACATGCTGTCTATTTCACATGGATCTCCTTTCTATGCTGCATTTGTCTTTCCATTATTTGTACACATTCAGTTCGTGAAGAACTGTGGCAGAGTGAATATCAATTTATGTTGTGGTAGTCTCTGTGTCTGTATCCTTTTTCTTCTTCATTTTATTATAAATTGTTAAAACATATCCATTTCATGAGCAGTGTCATCAAGCGAGAAACTTTTAAGAGAGGTTTCGTCAGAAAACTGACCTGCTACACCTACGTCGCTCCGAGACGAAATTTATTTTACGCTTTCTGTTATCCAGTTTGTCAGATCCGAAAAAAAATATTTACAACAATTGTATTATGTCCTACATGAGCGATGGAAAGTCTACTAAACTGACCGTTGAGACCAGGATTCTGAAAAGTCGGTCTTACTCTGCTAGATAGGTTTATCGAATTTTTGAGATAACTCGGCTTCGCCCCGTAAAAGCTTCCGAAAAATGTAATAATTGTATAATCGCTATAAAATGAAGGACAAATGCTTCATTTCTTCTTACGAATCAATTAGAATTATTTATGCCGAAACTAACCTAAAATTCCAGTATACAGAATCTATTCTAAAATTATGATTCTTGCACAATGTGGCATAAAGCCATTAACCCTCCCCCCCATAATAGAAGCCTCTGGGGCTTCAAAACTGTCCAAGCGTTCAAAATTTTTAGGGGGGGCTACTATTACGACTTTCGTACAAAAATTTCCAGAAAAGGAGATTTTGAATTTCGATGCTCTTGCCTTTCTAATCACGGTAATCTCAATTAATCTGAAAAAAATCTTTTTCGAGATAAAAAATGTAAATTTTATTCGTTTCCTTCTTTTACACACGACATCACACAAGAATAATTAAAGTAAAAAACGCGTGTCGATCAAATGTGTCGTTTAAAAAATTCAAATTATTTTTCCGACGTAGTAGAAGCCCTTGGGCTTCTAATACACCTTCCACATCGATTCCTCCAGAGGGGGCTTCTAATACGGGGGAGGCTTCTTTTATGGTGGGGGGGTTTAGCACATATTATAGCAATATTCGTATCTAATGAATGTTTAAATGTTGTTGTCCAGGTCGATACAGATCAACCAACACATGACTTTGCTAGCTCTCCAAATTTTTTCCCTCATCCTCACCACCTTTACCCTCACTTCAGTAAGGTTTTGGTGCTGTTATCATCTTATGCTAAAAAGCTTTTATGCGACATATATTTAATAAGAAAAAGTTTGGAGAGGGTGAGAGTTAGAAACAAAACGTAAATCTTTATATTTCACTCTATTGCTTTCTCAAGCTTTGCAATCACGATTGTGACACCGAAAAATGAGTTTGATGTCGGTACTTCGTTCTAATGTATACATACGGATTTCCCTTTCATAGTTGCGAGCTTTTTCACAAAAAAGTATGTTAAAACAAATCGTGCGACAAAAGTGATGCGACTAAATATCCGTGCACCGAAAAGATCGGCGACTAAATGTTCGCGACGATGTCTCCGCGACGAAAAGACCTGCGATTTGACCGGTCACCCTTATTTCGCATGGTGATGGGGCGAACCCACAATACCAAGAGAATTAGTTAAAATTGCTACACATAATGACAGTAGTATCTCCATTTTTTTATATTCAATATTCATCGTTATATTTTTTTCAAACCATATATTTTTCTGTTAACACTAAACCAGAATACAACCCAAACACATTTTATTGTTTAATCAAGCATGTATTCAAACAACGTCCGTATTATTTCTGTTCTTTTTTATCCTTTGCGCTCTCCGTCGAATGTACTTGAGATATTTGCATATATTTTACAAGTCTTTACCAGGTTACCTGCCAAATACTTGACGAAATACTTATCTAGTGCTTATACTTGTTAAATTACTTGATAAATACTTTTTTTGCTTGCATACAACTCCAGGTACTCTCGACATTACGTATCCAAGTACTTTTTTAAGTACTTGGTCTCAGGTACATTCACTAGGGTTATTTCATCTACGTTACTTCTTCTCTTAGCACACAAAAAAATCAAAAAGATCAATTTTCAAAAAATTGGGTAAGTCTTTCCTTTTCCTTTTGTCTCTTTTCGCTTTAATGTCTTCTTCTTCGATTTATCGTTATTTGTCAGACACTCTCATGATACGGTCTAAAATAGTTCCTCATCTGCCTCTATTCTTGCATCGCCAACAGACCATTGGTCAGTTCATCACCATTCAGGCTTCTGACTTTAATTTTAGAGTTTTATTTTCGTGTTTGCGTTTGCAAAAAATCAAACCCTGTTCATGAAGCAGTCTTTCAAATGACAGTCGTATTTATGAACTTTTATTAACTTTTACGCTTATTAGTTCACCCTATAAAAGCAAAAAAAAGGGGAAGGATTAGTGACTATGTCTTTTGTAATAGTTCCAGCAATTCATCGTTCTTAACTGATCCACATTTGAACTCGCCTTTCAATGACGTTGACTAACCGACTTATTGCTAGCGTTAGCGTTGATTTTTGTAATCAAGTCCGCACTATTATCCGTTACATATAAGCGATATTTCCAATCATGAATACCCATCGATGGCGCCTCGCGTTCAAAAGAATTGAGTACACCTGGTTTGTCTTGAGTGAAAACAATGATCGGAACATTTTTCAATTGATAATGATCCAAGAATAGTAACAAATTCAACGGATTCTTATCTTCGGATTTATAGTAACCACGACAAATTATTTGAAAGATTGTTGATTGTGGAAGCGATTTAATTTTATCCATGTGTTGCAATAGATACTTTGTCGCCAGATCAAATGTTTCCTGAAAATTCACATGAACGCTTGGATCACTGGTCAGATGTTTCGTTATTTGAGCGATGTCTGCCTTGTCGTTGTCCATCCAAAGAATATATGATAAATCACTGTTTGGTGGCACTTTCTCAATAGACCATTCATCATCAAAATACTCATCGGTATGATTTGACGGAACATCAACTGGAGTATTTTTATGAGTATTCGAATCAGATGAATTTTGAGTTTCTTGTTGTTTGCTATGACGCTGATCATCTGTGACAGTTTTTATAGAAAAGAAGTCTGCACAAAGTTCCGGATTACACATGTACTCATATGGAATGTAACAGTAGCCCTTATCACCCTGGAAGAAAATCAACATGTTGCAAATATTCAGACAACAGTATACACAATATACACTCGAATTCTTGAAAAATGATCATACATAGTCGGTATTTCACTATACGTGTAGGACAAGAAACACTTTCGGTCTGTCTTGTCACTCTAGAGACAAAAGTTACCTTTTTTCTACCAATGATCAATTTTTTATGTTTTCCCGAAGAAATCAATCGAAATACGCAGATGGTGGCATAGAGCGATCCCTTTCCGCTTTCGAGCACATGTGTCATCTAGTGCACCAAGGGCTGACCCAATTCAATGAGAAATGTCGCTACACTTCGCCTGCTTTTGATGAAAACTTCAGAATATACTGATACGCTTTTCATCAGTACCCAGATAAACAAAAGAAGGCCGTTTTGGGCCTCGGATGGGTGACCAAGGCCAAAAAGGTGTGGGCAAAGTGCCACTTTTGGACTGGATGACGACGTCCGGACACCGTAGAAAAAGACGAATGAGGACGCCTGTCCGGACTAGTGTTGTGACTATACACCTGTCGCGTTTTAATTATTTTCAATCAACATTATTGGACACCATCAAGATGACCATCTCGATGCCCATCTTAAACAACATGTCCAGTACCGAAGCATACCGCCCTGTCTACGGGTATGACTGAGGTCCGCAAAGTGCCATTTTGCGCACAGCAACAGCGTCCAGCCATTGTTGTGTTTTGAACCTCTTTGACCACCTGTCCAGACGATCGTCTTGGTAGTGTCCGATAATGTTACTAGTTCCACATTTTTCCAGCCGCTGTTTTGTTATCTACGATTGATTCCACTATGTTCTACTTGGACTTTTCTTCGAGAACATAGTGCAATCAAATTTGAACGCGTTCGTCAAGCAGATAATGCGTTTGTCATGTTATAATCTCTAGGAAAAATCAGTATGAGTCAGATAGTAAATTTAGAGACTGTGCACAGCAAATTTAGCTCTGTCCCCGTATCTAAATAGGTCTCATTTCGCTAATCACAATGTTACACTATCGGATTTTTATATAAAATGGTCTCTCAAAAGGAATGGCTGAGAAGCCATTCACCATATTTTATCCGGTTTTTTCTTCGGAAACATAGTGCAATCAGGGTCAATCATTACCTCAGACTCACTTTGAAGTTGAGATCAAAACTTTTACATAGTAGTTTTATTAAGACGCCCTCTCTTTGTCTAAATGCTTTCTACTTGTCATAGGTTTTTCTCATGTATTTCTCGATTATGGTTTGCCATATAAGTGACATTTGATCTCAGAATAAAAGTGAGAGCGGTTAAATGTTTTACAGTTCGCCTGTGAGTTTTACCTTAAGGTAACGATTGCCATATGTGAAGAAAACGTTCACGCTTGGACTTTCAGAGAATGTATATCCGTAGATATTATCGCTAGGATCAGTTCGTTATTAGAGTCAATCGAATATTCTGCGAATGAGGCGGAATGGCTGAGCCCCAGTCCCCCGTGCGTTAAACAGAACCGAACTAATCATCGCTACATCCCGAGAGTTACTAACGGCAAAGCGATATTACACCGAGGATACTCATAATTATTATAACATGAACCTTTCATGCATTTCTCACTTCTGTGCAGATTTGTTTTGAGATCTTTACAAAGCAAATATTAACTGAGTCTATACACTGAGAAAGCCCCCTATATTTGATGTGTTTCATGAGAAAGAAGAACGATTTTGATACCCAAAATTAATGGAGAAAAGTTTCAACTGTGTGACAGTAAAATAGAAAGGATTTTGTATATCCCTATTCTCTCACTCACTGCAAGTGCTGTGTACTTACTTACTGTGTAAATCGGTTATTTTAATGATTTAGTTCCACTTTAAAAATGTTCAAAAAGCAGATATAAACTGCAAAAAGGTCGAGTATAAAAGTAGTCTACTTTAAGAAATACAGTGTCTTATATAGCAGACACTGTTTTTCGTCTCGTTTAAAATGAGAAAAAACTTTGGTATCGTCAATCATACACGTGGCGCGAGAGTATATATATACGTTTATAAGGCGAGCGTAATTCAAAGATTCCGTCACCTCTTATATTTCTTTTAAACACGCACATTCTGATTCGGCGGAGTCTACTGATCACGAATATGACCTTATTTTCCCGATTTGACCGTGCCTTCATATGGAAAAATGGAAAATACTGAGCAGGAGTCAAAAACCCGAAAAACGCTATCCTACAGAAATTGTTCATAAGTTTTGTTCCTTTACGTTTTAACGCTCTAGAAGCCTGTTTTTCGAAATCCTTGAGTAAAACTGGTCCTAGAAATGTATTTATACCAGTTCTAATACCTTGCCTACTACTTGAAAAGAAATCATCAATTGGAACAGCCAAAAATGAAACCCTCTCCTTCTCGGGCTTTCTCGTTCCTCCTATTACCTATTTAAATTTTAAATTTTTTTCTAGGGTGCTTTAGAATCTGCTTCCAACGGAATTCCGCCACATATGCCGTCAAAACGGGCAGCATGGCTGTGTTGCAACGCCACGACCGTCAGCAAGGTCTTGACTATATACAGATCGCGCGACCCTATAGGCGTCATTTTAAATTTTTGGATCTCGTCGTCCTTAACTAGCACCTTGATTGACGTCAGGGAATACGTCAGAACGTACTCTCGAACATTTCTAAAATATTGTCGTTTTCCAGACTAGTCCGGCGGGAGTTCTCGAACAGTTCGGACGCCAGTCAACCACTTGTTTTTCTTTACCTGGGTAGTTAAACTTGGTGCAAGAGAAGCCTCGAGGAGCGTTTCTGAGAAAGTCTTTTCATCCAAGCAGTGAAAGCTATATGAAAAGTGGTGATAATAATTTCTTATCATTCGACGACGAAAAACAAGAAATCCAACAATTTCGCTTCTCATGCGTTCTAGCCATTCCTGTATTTCTCCGTCTACGTTCATAAAATTCACGAACGTGTTTCCTTGGTCTGACTGTTTATCTGGAGAAGAACAAAGGTAGAAAAGTCGATGAACTTTTGTTTTCTGCTTCATCTCTGTCATACCTGTTCGATGAAAAATCTGCAAAAGCTTTGCGATGAATTATGGAGTTTATGCGCATTTCAAATGCAGATGGATGTAAACGAAAATCAACCAAAACACTCACCCAATCTTCTCCGTATGAATTTAGAACAATGAAACGCTCCGATCGATCGCTGTATCCTGCTGCCACCATTGCATGGAGACCCTGCGCTTCATCTTCTGATTCATTGTCTGAATTTGGCATCGGCACACGTCCACCATTCGTTGCAGCTTCATGAAATGACTCATGTATCAGAAAGGCAAATACAAATGGATAGCCTTCAGCCAGACATGCTTTCAATTCGTTTAACTCTCCTCGCAGCTGCATGCCTTGCTTTATCCGATAGTTTTTGGCTTCTGCATAACATAGCGGTGGTGGCTTCTGGTTCACATTGGCCGCGTTGAACTGAAACAGTTCTTCTTTACAACAACCAAACTCAGCTAATGCTTCAATAGCATTTGGAATCTTAGTACCGGCGTCCAACATGTTGTATTCTCTATATCCATCTTTCTCCCGGCTGTTGTAATAAATAAACAGGCGACTAATATCGATATGTTTTTTAGTATTTTTCATTATTAAGAATTCATATGCAGCTAAAATGATATAAATATATGACGCATTGATCGACACCTAAAAGGAGACTTTACCTGCTAGTGCATTGCCAACACTAGAATGAAAAGGTACGAGAAAACAGTGAGAGACGCACACGTGAATCAAAGACTTCTATGTGATACAGTATAACGAAAAACTCTCGTTTCAGGGCGGAACAAAACCGATCGTCGTCGTCGTCAGAACCACCTCTGGAGATATGGCTTTTTTGGTCTACTCATCATGGTTCATCTTCGTGCTTTGATCAGCTGCACAGTCTTCTTTGTTTGACATGTCTTTGCCTCTTTGATTATATGCTGTCAGACTCGTCCCAATTCCAAAGGTAGTTTTGAGAACGACCAGTAACAACACATGCACACTTAGACTTTTCCCGTGCTATCTCTCATCTCAACAGAATACTCTTCGCACTTCTGTGGCATGATTTAAAACGATTGTTCTTAAATGACATCCCGGATCGAAAGCAAGTCTTTCGGCATACTAACCAGGAATAGCTCTCCTGTTGATGTTCCGCTGGTGTCATAAACTCTCTCAAATCCACCGATGGAGGTAAGTCCTTAGCCATATATTGTGAAGCTGAAAATTTTGGTGCAGGAGGCGGCTTTCCACTAAGTATGCACCCACCAATACGATGTCGTTTTCCTGTTTTTGGGTTCACAAAAATAAATTGTTTAGACATATCAGCTAGTTTGTTGTCGATAATCTAGAATATAGACCAAGAGAAACCGTCAGAAATATTTGATGTGCTCTTGGAACCAGTCATGCTCTGCTGTAATTCATTTTCGTAAAACATCGAACAGAAGAAACATTAGCTTGCATCTATCACATCAACTCATTCTAATAAGAGAAAAAAGAAGCACTCCGAATAGACCAGTATTGTGTCACTATTCATCTGTGACGAAGGTGAAGCATGTGTCATGTGATTTTTTACTTTAATAAAATAGTTTGGTCGATTGTTTTTGGAATATTTCATGAATTCAACAAAATATGCCGAAGCATAGTCGAATTCTGCTCAGTTTATGATCTTGATGCTATCAGAACTCTTCACCACTTTCAATTCATGAAATATTTCAAAAACAATCGACCAAACTATTTTATTAAAGTAAAAAATCACATGGCACATGCTTCATCTTCGTCACAGATGGATAGTAACGCAATACTGCTCTATTCGCAATGTTTCTTTTTTCTCTTATTTGAAGGAGTTGGTGTGACAGGCAAGACTTCAGCAGCACTGATAAACACATTACAATGCGCAGCTTTTCTTCAAAAAGACTGAGAAGAAGCGAAACAAAAGATACATAAGAAATAGAACTCACTGACGTACTACTGACTGCGTAACTACTGACCGTGAAAAGCTAGACTATTGTGGCTGGAATCTAGTCTTATCGTCATGCGGAGATGGGCGAATACGCAGATTCTCGAGTACGAGTACTGGGCCTCGAGTATGAGTACAAGTACGAGTATTTTCTAAACATTTATCGAATTAGTCAGTTTCAACTGTCTTCCATAGTAACACGAATACCATAATTAGATCTGAAAACATTGGTACCTAAAGAGAATATTGAGAGAAACAGCTAGGAGCGACTGTTTATTTGGCGAATAATGAGTATTTGCTTAGACAATGCTCACTGATGAGGTAAGAAACTACTTGACTTCTGTGAATACGCATCAACTACAAAAGTTCTACATTAAATCGCCAACTCACGAAAAACGCTATAAAACTCATCGGTGTGCTTTCCACCTCTATTTTCACTTACAAAATCGTTGAAATCGTCATATAAAAATGTTTTAGTCCTTTTTTGACACATTAGAATACTCGTTGTTTCAAATGAACTTAAGAATTGATCAAATCTCTCCGTGATAAATTTAAATGTCTCAAAATCATATAGATCATTGTACTTAAAAATTTTGGATGACATTGTTGGGCACATAATGTATATAGGTCACCGATGTCTGTTGAAATTTGCTTGTTGATAAGTCGATAGTATCTGGTTGTGGACTAATGAATTCTTCGTCTTTGCTTGAGGATGATTGTTGTTTTGATGGTTTATCAAAAATATTATCATTGTAGCATCTCTTACTTAATAAATTAGGATTATGTGCTTTTCTTTTAATAAGTGGCATATTTATTGTGACAGTGTTTCTATTCGATTTTACAATTTTTACTTTTAAACATACTTATATCGTACTCAAATGCAGAGAAAAGCAGATATATATATCTCAACAGGAGACAGAGGAAGCGAAAGGTTTTTCTTATGAACAGTGAACGAAGATAGACTAAATGAAAAGGAGATGAAATTATCTTTCTTGAATACAATGAAGAATTCGCTGTGCAGATAGAGAGAGAAATAAATGAAATATTTGAATACATTATACCCTAACATTTATGAATGAAATTAAAAGTTAAAAATCAAATAAAACCAGTGAAAAATCCCTGTTCGTAAATAAATAGCTCCTTCTCAGTTGTTTGCTTTCTCCTGTGCAGCCTTTATCGCTGATGCGCAAGCTCCCAGCTGCCACGCTTTAACTGTCCATTTTGTGTGTCGTGACACAAAAATTTCGCTTTCGCTAACCATAAAGTTTCTAGAGACCTTCTAGAAGTCGTTTAGAACTCTTGAAAATGTTTTCATTTGATTCAGCATCGTTTCTTACCTGTTGTCTGTTAGTCTGAAGGATTTTGAATGAAAACTGAAAAAGTTGTCGAAAGACGATTTCCCGATTTTAGGCGAAACGGCTAAATTTTAATAAAGCTCAAATATCTTAAGCAGGACAGCAGGATTTTAAAATATATGGGATTCAAAGGCATTAAAGGATTCAATGTGTTTTTCCGAGTATTCTCTACACAATCACAGACTGTTCAACACACTGTCCTATCCTTTTCATCCAATCTATTCAACATTTAACTCTTGTACTGTGAACGTGGCCTATGTATCAAAGACAACGCTCTCGACTCCATTCGGTCGGCGTTCGATACAGGCCAATACACAAATGTGAAGGGGTACATTCGCTAAACTAATTTTTTATGCTGCTACGTACCACCCTCTACCACTCTGCCTATTTAGTGGCAAAAATGTATTATCCAACTATTCATTCTTTTGTAAGAGAAAAATGATAGTAATTTCGATCTTCAACTTCAAAATTTCAACTTCAGTATGAAAATAAATCAAGTTTGTGGAACAGAAAAAGAATTCCTAGGAAAGATCCTGGTGATTAGTATAGTATAATTCTCATCCCCTTATCAACATCTATACAATCACCAAAATAGCGCTGTGTTTTACCATGATTCTTGAAGTTACAACAAAAATTGTTTTTACAGTAATATTAATGATTATTAATAGTCACCACTAATCAAAGCAAGTCCTCTTTGATCATTCTTCTGTCAAAAGTAGGCTCAGAATGTTGTCAAAAACAGTAATATGTTTTCTTTCTTGTATTTTAGCAATGTTCGTTCTAACAAGCTCATAGTCAGGTGTTTTCCAGAAAGCAGAAGAAGCACAATACACTTGCACGAAAAAATTAACAAAAGCATTAAAAGGAAGTCATAAAAAGAGCCTAGAGCTCATATTAGAGCCTAGCTACTTGATTCATAACAAATAAGAACTGTTGAGATAAATCTTCTCTGCAGCGTCTTTCCGTTCATTTTGCCTGTTTTGATTGTCAAGAGATTTTTAATAAGTAAAACTTCTGATGAAAACATCTGATGAATGTGGTTCTGCTCTCAGATACTGATTCTGATGTTAGATCAAACGGCAAAACTCTTTAGAGCCTAGTAGAGTAAGCTAAATTAACATTAATTAGTGCTAATTAGTCAATAACAGGAAAGAAAGAACAAAAATTTTTACATATTATCTGGTAGTGAATATTCTCCACACATTTTTCTATCGATCTAGGCAAGAATCAAGTTCTTATGATGAATGAAGAATGGACAGGAATTCTTTTAATAATAGTTCCTTGTTCAAAAACTTATATGGATATAATTAGTTTTTGATGCTGAATTCGAATAAGTTAGCTTCCAAACTTTACAGTGATGGTAAAGGGGTGAAATCTTAAGTTTTCTCAAAGAGGGGCAAAAGTGCCGTTTTTCATACCTTCGTATTTTGAAGATTTCCTCCTTCACCCCAAACTTGATGAAAATTCAATTTCAATGGCATATTCAGAATCTAATCGTCGAGCTCTATCTGACCATGTATGTTTCAAGGAATTCTATTTTTGTGGCACAAGTGATACTTTTTGTTCATTCAGCCAATATGTTGTTTTATTGGCATAATGCGAGCTAGCCAGGTCTGGCCAAGATATATTTGTCATTAATATGATGTTTATTGATAAATTTCATCAATTTTGGTAACGATTTTCCAATATAGACGTCGACATCAACCGCTGATACTTTCGTTGTTCCAATGTATGGTGCTGAAATGCCTTTGCTTGATAATGCCAACCAGACCAATATTTTAGGTTCGAATTTTTGTTTTGATTTGTACTTTACATCTGGTGGAGTATTTTCTTTGTCAGAAGAATAAAATCCGGCATTTCCGGGCATATCAACGCCTCAAAATGTAAAATATTTTTCGTCATCAACAATGATGAAAGTTTCGGAATCTTTGATTTCTCGACGTAATTTTCGACACTTGCTTGATATTTGTTCGAGTTGTTTTTGATTGTATTTTGGTGCACGTTGTCGCTTGTAATGTTTTAAGCCCAATTTCTTCAAATTTTCTTGAATACACATCTTTGACACGTTAAATTGCAAGGACAACTTTCTTTAATTGATGCCAACACGGTTTTCGGCGGAATTTTTCAATTTTTGTCGCTGCTTCTTGTTTAATTTTGCAGGACGACCTTTTCTTGGCTTGTCGTCACATGGTAGACCACTTTTGAAACGTTTTATGGTACGATAAATTGTTCTTCGTAGAACGCCTTCAACTTGACAATGTTTTACAATATCAGATTCTTTCATTTGTCCAAGTAGAGAATAGATACGCCTTCTAACATCAACTATTTTTCCCACACAGGAACTCATCGTTGAAATGTGTTATGTATATCTAGAAAGAGCTCGAAACCGGCTACAAACCTGTATAAAAATAAGTTTTTAATTGAAGCTTTAAGATGGTTTTATTGGCTAGACATTTTGTGCCAAACTTTCCGATCACCCGTTATGTAAATTATTGCATTTGATCAGTGGATCAAAACTGAGGTAAAAACCGGAGACGGACCTCAAATACAGTGCCTGTCGCAAAACGCGTTTTAAATCATAAAAACACATCGCAGAGAGCTCGTCGACGTCTCATTTTGTAGGAAAATGTTTGTTCTATATCTCTAATGACTCAACAAAATTTTGTAGATTCAGATCTTTGAGAAAAGTAAAAAAATGATCCAATCTATGTCTATGTGCAATATTTGATGCATATCACGATGGTTTTTTAAAATGTTCTATTACATATGAATTGATGTAGAACTGCTTGCTCTGTCTCTCCAAAATGAAGTAAGATTTACTTTGGGACTGCCATATGCATGGTCTATATCGAAAAAGGACTGAAAAAAATGCAGTTTTAAAAATATAGAATTTTTAGTTTTCTATTATTTAGTCCTAGATAGTTAAACATATTATTATGTCTAAATACATGCACTTATAGAGTAAATAATCCTCTTTCAAATGAGCTATGAACCAATCATAGGGATTTGATAGTTTTGGGGAAATTTTGGAAAATATGAGAATTCGTGAAAATTCACGGTTTTTGGTAACATGAGTGATCCTCCATCAAATGTTTGGCCTTTTTAAAAAACACTTTCAGAAAGAGTTATTGCACGGTTAGCAGTTATTTTGTATGCTCTTTCGAATGAGACATGAATAAGAATAAAATAAAATTTACTGAAGAATAGCCTTAATGTTTAATATAGTCAATTTTCTAGCGAAGGCTCTCTTAATGCATTTTAACGTCTTAAAAACACTTCGGGAACTTCAAGACCTTCATGCGTTCGAATGCCTTATGTTTTAAGGGTCTCCTCCCCCTCAGAAATGGAAATTGCTTTTGAGATACGCACATGGAACGATAGCCTGACGTGTCTACTTCATCGAGTATTTCATACAGCGTTTAATATACGTTTCCACTATGTAAGAGTTACACCTGAAGTGCGTCCCAAGATTTTTAATATGGGCTTGTCGTAGAAACTTCATTCTTTTTTTGTTTAAAAGAGGACAAGAAACTACGTGGACTGACCGGCGTCGATTTTTTAATTAGATCTTATTATTAGGACTCTTGAAAATGATCTAAGTTGTGATCGAAAGCTCGAGTGTTGAAATAAATTCAGCAGAATATAAAACTACTATAACAGCAGATTTATATGTCAGTGTACTACGAGGGAGAAGAAAAACTGCGAGTTCTGTTTTTGATGTATCTCTTTTATTGTTAATGATAGAATTGGCAGTTTAAACTCCATTTCTAAAGAGCAGGTATTCTTGGTTATTATATATAAAAATTACTAATACAGAAGATTGCTCGAGTTATGTATGTCTTATGTTTTTTCTATTGTCTCAAAGGATTGCATTTCTGGCTTACCAACAATAGCATTGAACATTTTGAACCCGTACTCTATTCTTGTACAAGCCATAGTTGTGGGTTTGAAATTTAAAGGATTAGTCATCTGATATTTATGTGATTTTTACCATAGAGACTCGCTGGTTGAAGCTAATATACCAACAGAACGAAATTTCTTCGCCATCCATTAGTTGAGCTCAAAACTGAAAACTAAATTTTTTTAAAGATACCCCTTACTTTCCTTGTTATTCAGATCTCGATTTTCGAGTAAAATATGCCACTATATACAGTTAAGTGTCCTCTAAGGAACGAGTAGAGATGTTAGTCATGCTGCTGCCGCCGTCGAAAGAAAATTTTAAAATTTCACGCCGTCGTCACCATATGAGAAATTTATTAATTGAAGTTTTCGCTCGCTGACGAGAAATTTTGTCAAAACTTTTAAAAAGCCTTTGAAAAAGTTTTAATTAAAATTGTAAGTTTTTTGTGCCGTCCGCTAAACTAATGTGCAAAATCGAGAGGCGAAAATGTCTTTTTAAATTTTTCATCGCCGTCGTGGATAAACTTTTCAGTTTGACACGCCGCCGTCGATATAGTAACCGGCTAACATCTCTAGGAATGGAACGTCCCTCAACTCTATATGACCTTTCCTTCCAGAGTTATACATATTTTCAGAGCCATTGAAGATCTCGATTTATCATCGTTCACTTTGAAAAAAAAATCGTCCACAGATGTATATTTGAAATATACTAGCGCTTTTGTTATGTTGTGTTTTCAGTTTCATAGTTAGCTAGTTATATTGTTGTATTTACTTACACATATTGTCTCGCTAAATTTTATGTCAAATCCATACTTTGACACCTTCATAACATTTTAATATCCATGGTCTATTCAATTATTCATTCGACATCTTGTAATGCTCCCTTCGCTCAAAGTTCAAGCTCAAATGAAAAACATTTCTGGCCTGTTTTCGATCAGATATTGCATTTTATTCCTTAGCACGTTTCCTTCGAAGATGTGTATGTGCGAAGCACAAATATGACTGCTGTGGATGTACAAACCGGTATATAGCCTCATCAGCGAGAGGAGTAACAATAAGAAAAGATGGACACCAAAATGCGTTCTATGGCATAGGCCTTTTCAGGATAGCTCTCTGTTGTTTGGATACGTGTCATTACACTAACTGGAATCCAGAAATGCTTGAAGTTGAATCATACCTTTAAAGGACTATCAGGGAGAGCTTGTTGATGGATATTCATACAAAACAAAAGAAAAATCTATTTGCCAAAAAGCTTTGACCTAAAAGTATTTTGATGACATATCACGTCGTCCACGTATATAGTAGAAAAAAAAGAAATTTCTTTTTGTTCTATCTATTTTAGTTTGTTGTGTTCTACATGTATTTTATTTTATCTTTTATTTTTTTCTGCCTTCAGACTCAACTATCGATTGTCACACTGATGGTGTCTTTTGAATAACGACGAACCGTTTCTCACAGAAAACAGCTATATTTTTTCATTACGATAAAGGTGGTCTATATCTTATTATATGTTTCAAAATTTCTCAAGTTATCTTAACATTGAGAGACTCAGCGCTACAACTTAGCAGAGCTAGATTTTTGAAAATTTTTGTTTATTCTGTGGGAAATTTTTTTTTAAAAAGTTGGAAAAAATAAGGCTAAATATCCGAAAAACTTTATTTTTCTCAAAAGTTAAACTGAAAAAATAAAAAGTCCGGCTCTGTTAAGTTGTAGCATTGAGTCTGAGCTTCATTTTAAAACCCTTCCAAGCGTTCTAGCATTTGAAACGGCGGAGAAATCTGGGACGCACGAATACGCAAAAATGAAAAAACTGGGCGATGTCTCATTTTTATCAGAGATATTTTCTCCACATTATAGTGGCATGGAAAGTATTTTGGAATTTGCTTTTTAGCAGAAGATGACATTTTTCGAACGGTCAGTTTTTAAGGCTTTTGGAAAATGTTTCTAAAAACCTTAACTGAAATACTATAAAAGCTCATTCATGGAACGTGGAAGAAAAAGAGTATAGAAATCCCACTGGAATTGCACTAGTGTAATGGAATGAGTAAAAATAATACACAACTGCACAAAATATCAACTTTTAATTAATTTATCCAACCAATAAATATAAATAAAATAGATGCAAGCATTCAGCTTCCGATGGAAAAAGAGAAAGTTTATAAACTCTTGAATGCTGTGGAAAACCGTAAAATGACACAAACCATGCATTGCGAGTGTTTGGATAAATGTGACCAGTTCTGACAAGCATGTTTGTATAATAACATTTTTAAACAATCCTGAAAATGACTAGCTGACTGTAAAAAAGCGAAAGAAAAAAAGACAAAATCATATATATATACACATATATACAAATATATAAATATATGTATATATTTTCAAATTGTTCACTATGCTCATATTTGTCTGCTGATGACTTTTGTTGAGGCTGAATGCATGCATCTATCTTATTTGTATATATTAGTTGAATAAATTAAATAAACTACAGCATTTAGAGAATGATTATTCTGGTGCGTTGTTCTTTTTATTAAGAATAGAAACTTTTTTTAATAGAGGTACTTTTTAGTTTTTAAAGCTAGAAGTATAATGCTGAAAGTGCATGACTAGACAAAAAAACAATTTTTTTTGGCTTTTATAACGTTACATTCAAGTTTGTTTAAGCAAATTGTATACACTTGTAACGATATAAATCACTTTTTAAGCATTAACATGATGATAAAGCATATTTTTCTTTCTTTTCTGTTCTTGTACTCTATTGTCACAAATTATATTTAAGACATGAACAATACCCTATGACAACATTTATCGAGCACCTTCGACTGGAAAAAAAATATTATTGTCAATACAACTATACGAAACAACACGGCAATTCCGTTTCATTCATTCTCGTTCAATTAAAACACAGTGTGAGTACGTAAGAAAACACTTTCATTAAACAGTGTTGCCACACCTTAAACGTATATTGTAGTA